TCCTACACATGCTAGTGATGCAAAAGCACGAAGCTCCTAAGCTCACTAGCAATGCTCAATAACAAGGCAACTAATGCCAAATTAGAGAGCACAAATTACTTAGGTACACAAACTAAGCATTGTGATTAACAAGGTTACTCAAACCAAATTAGTCACGCAAGGGAGCTACTTCTATGCTACACAAGCAAGAATATAACTAGTAAACTACACAAGTCAACTAATTATAAGAGCAACTACACAAGTACAATATATGAAATGTAAATACAAGCTTGTGTAAAGGAGAATGCAAACCAATGGGAAGACAAATATGACACGATGATTTTTATCTCGAGGTTCACTTGGTTGCCACCAAGCTAGTCCCTGTTGAGACAAGCTCCAAGGTTGTCGCTGGTCCTCTTGCTAGTGGTGACCCGCAAGTCACACTCTCCCCACGTGGAGTGCTTACCACAAGCTCTAGCACTTGACCTGGCCGGACCACTTGTCGCCCTTCACGTCTCGCTCTACTAGTGTTGCTCTTTGTGGTTTCCGCGGGGTGAGCACAATCCCCCTCACAATCACTTCTCTGGAGCACCGCACAATCTTCTTTGTGTGCTTCGACGGAGACCACCACCAAGCCGTCTAGGAGGTGGCAACCTCCAAGAGTAACAAGCACCACCGGCTTGCAACTCGATCACCTAGTGCCACTCGATGCAATCTCACAATGCAACACACTAGAATCACTCACTCGCAATGGATTCACACTTCTCGCAAGAACAAGTGAGTTAGAGGCTTATCAAACCAAGCACACACAAGGGCAACACATCCCCAAGGTGCTTAACCAGCCAAATGCCCAATCTTCATCTCTATTTATAGCCCCCAAGCCAAATAGAGTCGTTGGAGCAAAGCTGCACTTTTTGCGAGGGCACCAAACATGACGGTGCGGTCACCGGACATGGGGTGGCGGTGACCCCCAACGGTCGAATCCAACGGCTAGTTTGACTAGCCATGGTCACCGGACAGGGGCGGCGGTGCCACCTCGGCCAACACCCCAAAAACCCTTTTCTCTTGAAAAATAGGGCGGTGCACCGCCGTCACCATGGCGATGACCGTGGCGATGACCCCCTCGTCTCAGCACTGAACTCACCACCCTCAGGAAAAAAGTGACGGTGCCACCGGACAACACCTGGCAGTGCACCACCCTGCACATGGCGGTGTACACCATCATGTCTGGTGATAGCCCTTCTACTGCTGCTCGAAACCAAATCCAGGTGGGCACACCCTAGGGGTGGCGGTGCCACCAGACAAGGTACGGCGGTGCCAGCTCCAACCCCTACTCTCGGCCTCGACCAACCGGTCACCGCCACTAGGGTGGCGGTGCACCGGATAGGGGGTGGTGGTGCCCCTAGGGCAGCACCCTAAGTCTAGTTTCGCCTCCTCTTCTTCACCTTTTTCAACACCTTTGCAAATGTGCTAACACCATCAAGTGTTCACCAACTTGTGCACGTGTTAGCTTTTCACAAACATTTCCCAAAGAATTAGCACTCTTTTCACCACGCCACTCGATTCTAACATGTAAGTAAAGTTAGATCGCTTGAGTGGCACTAGATGACCGATATGCAAACAAGTTTACTCCTCTTGATAGTACGGCCATCTATCCTAAACCCGGTCGTAAACTTCTCTACACACCTATGACCGGTGAAATAAAATACCCTAGGTTATACCTTTGCCTTGCGCATTGCATTCCATCTCCATTGTTGATGCAACACATGCACCAACCAATTACCAAATGATATGATCCACTTCATATCATCATGTGACCGTATTGGTTCATCGATCTTGACTTCACTTGCTCTTCACTGTTGCTTCGGTCCATTGTCGCCAAGTCATCACTCAACTTGCCCTTCACACTTGCAACCGGTCCATCAAGCAAGTCTTGTCTTGATCTTCTCCACCTTGATCACATGACTCTATGTCATGTCTCATATGCAATGAGCTCCTTCATCACATGTGTGAGCTTTCCAACATCTCCATGCCATTTCACCTCCATGCCAAAGGTTGCTCACACATGATGTACCTGTGGATCTCACATTAAACACAATTAGTCCACCAAGGTTGTCACTCAATTACCAAAACCAAACAAGGACCTTTCAGGGGTGTCTCTGCTGGCGTCGATCGCATGCACCGGTCATATTGACCAGACAAGAAAGCAAACCCAGCGTCCGGTCGCTGGATCACCGCCACGTGTCCCCGCTTCAAATGTGCGCCGCTCGATTTCAACGGTCAAGTGACTCAGTGGAATGGCTAAGTGTTGACTGGACGCCGCTAGACGAGATCGGACGCGGTCGCTTAGCGTCGCTCACGCGCTTCCATGCCATGCTTCCTTCGCCGCTACGACCAGGCGCACCACTCGCCGACCGGACGCCATGCCAACTCGGAGTCAGGTCGACTCCAGTAAGCATCCAGAGCCGGTTTTCTTGGACCGGACGCATCAGGTCAATGGTGACTGGACGCGCCCCTGCGTCCGCTCCGTTCTTCCTCGCGTGAGCGCTTGTGTCGGTGTACGTCACACCCTGACCGGACATAGACCCTGTGCGTCCGGTCACGCCTCCTCTGCTGAGTCCGGTCAAGACTTGGCCTCCTTAGCCGCATCTCAACATTGACCGGACGCACCCTGGGGTGAGTCCGGTCACCCCGGCGCCAACGTCTGGTCGAGTAGCTTCGCTTCCTTTTTATTTTGTAACTCCTCAACCTCTTCACTCTTGCTTCCAAGTTGGTAACCACATTTTTTAAAACATTTTTCAAGGGTCAAAAGTTAGCATACTAGGTCCCTAAATGCAATGCATGAATAATATCACCTAGTGGCACTCGATAACCGCTTAGCTAAAGATTTTTCCTCTTTATAGTACATATATTGATTCTAAACGTGATCACACTCTATATAGCGTCATGATCACCAAAACAAAAACATATCTTATACCTTTGCCTTGATTTTCTTGGTTTTTGTTTTTCTCTTTCTTCTTTTCCAAGTTGGAGTCCTTGATCTTTAAGTTTGGTCTTCACCATCACCATGACTATCATCTAGCTCCACCACTTGACATAGGACCATCCTTTAATGTCTACACACTTAGTATGAGGATTAGTCCTTATATTTTATCAATTATCTAAAATCAAACTAAGTCTTTCACACTATCCCGGAGTCGTGATATGTAAAATCAAAATTCCTATTAAGACTCGCGATGGCGGAGCCACGGGTGGTAGCGATAATCGTTGGCATCACAGACCGTTTGGAGCGATTCTTCGTGATTCTTGCAGCCAGCTATCGATAACTGGACCTAAAGCACATGGTACTGAAAAAATAACAGTATTCCTGACGGTGGGCCGACAAAAACTATACGACATGACTAGCTCGTCAGGAAAAGCGGTTTATCCTTGTCGGCTTAGGGCAGGCTGGTCGATCCTTCGTCCTATGGATTAAACCGTCAGGGATTATCATCAGGAATTGATGGGTTACAGGAATCCTTCATCGTGACTTTCTAAACCGATAGGAACCATAACTTCTCCTGACGATCTCAATATGTCAGGCATGTCGCCTAGATGACGACAAGAGCTTTGTCACCTTTCATGACGTTTAGATCGACAGGAACTGTCTGTACATCAGTTTTATATTAATAAAAATGCATTCGGTATTATCATTATTTAAGATTTTTTAATTCAATAGATCCCATGTATCCTGATGGTTTAAAGAATCGCCAGGAGTAATTTAGACCTATCCTGACATGTTTTCGTAGCCGATAGGATCTATCTATTGTTCATGTCAGTTTGAGAAAAACCAACAGGAATAATGAAAAACGTCAAGAAAAATCCTGTCTCGGGTAGTGCCTCAACGTTCTCCTTTCTTGTTTATCTCATATAACTTCTATTCTTATCTGTATTTGCACGTCATCATTATGTTATAATCATGATCTTTTATGTATAAACATATATGTGGCATATGTATCTAATTATTTGGTACATTCACACAGTTATTGAAATGATTAAGATGCCTAAGAAGGGGTGTATTGGGATAATCTAAAATTCTCGTGAAATTAAAAACTATTACTTAGCCCATTTCACCCATTGAGTCTAACAGTCACTTGTGTTGTCATCAATAGTGAAAACCGAATTAGGGGTCTAGCGTATATATTACCTCCTCCTTTTCAAATTATAAGTTATTCTAACTTTTTAGATATATTGTTTTTATTGTGCATTTAGATATACACTATGACTAAATGCATGGCCTTTTCTGTGCATCTACAAAAGCTAGAACAAATTACAATTTAGACAGATCGAGTATCTTCTTTGTTTATTTTTTCCTTGTCAATATATTGGCTTTGTGTATGCAGAAACTACATGTCTATATTTTTGGTCTGATTGTAGGTTTCATGGTCAGGCATGATGGTTAGTTTTCCATACGGAAAATCATGCAAAAGTTTCCATGTCCATCGATTCTGGATGTTTTTACTACCATAGCTCATTTTCGGTTATTTATCAAATCGGCAATAGGTTAAGAAAATATGTGTGCGGTACACCAAGGCACAGACCGTGTGGTAGTGAAAAAAATTGCGTGGATACCGTATGCAGCGCGGCACCGTGCATACGTAGCGTCGATGGCTAACGCGTGTCTCCCTCCGTTAGCGTCGATGGCTGCAATTGAAGCACAGAACTCCCATACGTTTCCAGCAGTTAATTAAATCACCGATCCTGATTTTTTTATCGACAAATCCGGAACTGCTACGAACCGTGCAGAGCGTTGGATCGGAAGCAGAGACACACGTCCGCCATCGAAGCTACGTATGCACGGTGGCGCGCTGCATACAGATTCCAGGTAATTTTTTTTCGTGGTAGTAGACTAGTAGAGAATCCCAAGCCCCGGCAAAAGAATCTGATTGGCCACCTTATCCACACACCAGCCTCGTCACCACACTTTTGCAAAATGCGCGGCATGCCATGCCATTGCCATTGCCAGCCTCAGCAAAGCAACAATGTCGCAGCAAATCCTCAACACCCCCAAGCAGACGCCAGCACCGACGCAGCGGCACCACCCTTCACCGCCACAGCCGCCTCCTAAGCTCGGCCGCCGCGCCGCCGCCGCGGCCATCGCCATCGCGGCCGCGCCGGCGCTCCTGGGCGTCTCGCCGGCGTCGTCCAAGGCGCAGGAAGCCGAAGCCGCTGCCGTTCCCGCCGCGGAGGCAGCGCCGCCGTGCCTCGCGGAGCTGCCCGTCACCGCGAAGGCCTTCCTGGACGTGTCCATCGGCGGCGAGCCCGCGGGGCGCATCACGGTGGGCCTGTTCGGGGACGCGGCCCCGGCGGGCGTGTCCCGGTTCCTGTCCCTGGTGACGGGCGTCGGGTACCGGCGCAAGGAGTTCGTTAAGATCGTTCCGGGCTACGTGCAGCACAGCGGCGTGGTGTCGTACCCGGCCATCCCCGCGGTGACGGATCGGCTGGCGGCCGAGGCGGAGGCGGTGCGCGCACGGTGCAGCGCGGGCGGGCACGGGCCCGTGCACGCGGCGGCCAACGCGGTGTCGATCGTGGTGCGGGACCCGAGCCTGCCGCCGCCGAAGCCGAAGCTGGTGGCCAGGGGCGGGAAGCTGGAGGTGGAGGAGGAGCAGGTAGGCGTGGTGCCCAACGGCACCGAGTTCGTGGTCACCACCGAGGCGGCCCCCGAGCTGGACGCGTCGGCGGTGCTGGTCGGGAGGGTGCTGGATGGCATGGACGTGGTGGCCAAGATCGCTGCCGTGCCCACCGTCAGGGACAACACCGGCTCGCCGTACTTCAGGTCGTTTGCTTTTCCATTGCCGCTTCAATGCTCTCTCGGAACCATTAATCTTACTGGAGGTAGTTCCGGAGAATGATGTATGAGTACGAATGTTTGCAGAGTGGCCAAGCTGATCGGCGACAAGAGAGCAGTTGTTGCAGAGCGAGGCTTCAACCGCCCGTACACTAAGATCTTAGTCACCAACTGTGGTGTGTTCAGTTGAGTCGGCAGTAGAGTGCTCCGTCTGAACTCTGAAGGAAGAATTTTGAAGGATTTGATGGTGATTTTCATACTTTTTGACTTTTTGGTAGAGAGTGATTTGCCTGGGGCACGAATTCATTTCTCAAAAGTGATCGATATCGATATATAAAAGCTCCAAGCGCTTTTATATATGGTTTGTGCATCAGCCATGCTCTTATGATCTTATCAGCTCCACTTAGTACCTGTACCATGTCCTCTATTTAGGCATTTGTGCGTTCGACATCACCATGCCGCGAGGGGAGACGGGGACTCTAGTCTAGCGCAGCAAGTGAACGATCTCCGACGCGATGCCTAGCTTCTCCTCGATGTCCCGGTTCACCTGCTCCAGCGGCGACACGATCTCCTGCGCGTCGAAGAGGCGCTGGCACTTCTCCGGGAACACGCGGAGGGCGCTGACAGCGTCGGCCACGCGGTCGTCGTACTCCGGCATGTGGGTCACCCTGGACAGCGCGTGCGCCGCGGCGTGGAGGCAGTCCTTGTACAGCGCCGCGCACCTCGCCACAAGGCGGCCCGCCGGCGTCGTCCCTCGCCGCGCCCCGTAGCTCAGGTCCCACGCGCGCAGCCTAGCCCGGAGCGCCGATCTCCTGGCGCGCGTCAGCGCGATGATGGAGAGCTCCCGGACCGTCGTGGCGCTGCGGCTCCGGTTGCTGGACTCGAGCAGGGACACGCAGAGGCGCTGGTTCGACGTCCTGCCGCAGGTCTGGGCGACCAGGGGCGTGCTGGCGGATGATCCGGGGAGGAAGGCGGCGGCGGCGATGCAGAGCAGAGCGGCGAGGAGAACCTTGTGGTTTCCGGGTGATGTTCTGCTCATTGAAGCCGCCATTGCCGTGGTGGAGCTGAAGAGAGACCCGGGATGTCTGTGCGAGCACTCTTGTGTGTGCGTACGTCCTGCACTTATATAGTTGCACATATACGATCAAGAAGCATGGGACCTCATCGAACTTAACTGGCATTGATCGTAGCGAATGTTTTTTAACGAATGCTAATTACTTTAACGCACATAAAAATCAAGATGTATGGCATCATTAAGTTGAACGATAGATGAGAGTAGTTTTTCCATCTATCTAGACTTTAAGAATCGGGGGTTATAGGTCAAGAATGCACTCCGTCCCAAAATACGGTCAAACTTGAAATTAGGACAGAGGGTGTATTTCAACGTTTCATCGCTAGATATGTTGCGTTTACACTAGCAAAAACAATAAGTGTGGTCATATGTTTTTCTAACAAAACAAAATATATATATATATATATGTTGTTATGTTTAAAGGTTTAAGACAATGATACTTCTATCCTCTAATAATAATGAAGAGCCAAAATTTATGTCATACTTTTTTTCCTGCCTCTTTCTACCGTTTTTTTTTGCACTATCCGTATTTAGTATTTAGCCGTTCTTTTTTCCCGTTCCAGTCCGAGTCTTCGTACCGTGCAAAAAATCAGGCCCAAATCCGAGTGTGCATTTTTTTTGAACATCAATCCGAGTGTGCATTGCCAGTGAAAAATCCGGCCTAAACAAAAAGAAAGAAAGAAAAAAAAAACTCGTACTCCCTCCCTATGCACACAGTGCCGCCCCCACTTCTCTTGCTAGCCGGAAAAAAAATTAGATGCAGGCTGCCTGCACCCAAGCCACCGTGTAGGACCACTCGGATGAGATCCCATCGCACGGCTACGCGTGGTAGAGTTTTCAATTGTCTATTTTTAGTATCATGAGGAGTCGTACCACACTTGAGCCGTCAGAGGAGCCGCACCACTCTTCACCGTCCGATGGATTTTCTGGGATACGTGGCTTCCATCGGAGTGGGCCTGCACAGAGACGCCGGTGCAGGCACCCTGCACTCAAATTTTTTTCTGCTAGCCTCAGTATAGGCCGGCTTTGCCCAACATTAATTAATTAAAAGATATTATATAGAAGGCAAGCACTACAAGGTGGATTTCATTACCTTCTCTCGCCTTCTTGGTTTGGGTCACACCGACCGCACTGCACCTGAGCTTACTGAGTATGAGGATGTGGCTTTGGAGGAGTATCAGCACATGTACTTTGATGGATATCCAGCTGATGGACAGACCGTGTATCTAAAGCCCTACTACTATGTTTTGAACAACATCGTGCGATAGATTTTGTATCCGAAGTGTGGTGACTCCACTTTCCTTCGTGATGACTCTCAGAAGGTGCTTCAGCGCTTTGGTGATAATTTTGAGCAGTTCTCCATCAGGCGATACATTTGGAACAAGGTACATGATGCCAGTGAGGATCCTGTGAGGCACCTTCCATATGCCCCCTATATTATGCATGTGATTGAGCAAGTATCAGGCATCCGGTTCCCCACAGATCCCCAGCGCAAGCTCCTCAAGATCTCCAACAAGACTTCTATCACCGCTGCAAGGGTCCTGAAGAAAAAGCCGATGCAGCCCGAGGCAAAGGCAAAGGTCCTTCGGGCTCTTGTTCTCGCCATGGTGCATCACCACCTGCTGCTTCTTGTGCTTCTAGTGCTGAGCCGCTCTCTTCCTCCTCCTTTGGTAAGAAGCCTAGCAAGTTCAAGTTCCTCATGACCTACATGTTTGGACAGTGCTGTCCTAGTGCTCAACGCGAGCATGACATGCAAGAGAGACTCTATCGTTTGGAGCAGCGGGCTGGTGTTGAGTCTTCACCACCACCGCCATTTGTGCCTCCTCATGATCCTCTGGAGCTCTATGATGAGGCTTGTATGGCTTACAAGGACGATGCTTTCTCTCGCCCTCATGGCAAGAGCAAGGACACTGCTGTGGACAAAGATTACATCGAGGAAGACGATGATCACGATGACGATGATGGTGACGATGGTGACCATGATGACGATGAGGACTATGAGGACGAGTGGTCGTTTCTCTCACGTGTCCTACCCCTTTTGGCACTTGTTGACAAAGAGGGAGTGTTAGGCTTTGATCTATCATGTAATAAGTTAGTTGGTCGTCTAGTTTTGAGACTTTAAAACTTTTTAGCTTGTTTGGACTATGTCGTGTGGTGGCTAGTATGTGATGGACAACTATATATGTGTTTGTGATGGATGATTGTAGGACAAGTAATGGTTATCTATCTATCTTATTAGCTTGTGTTTGTGTCTACTTGTGATGGTGGATGTTATTTCGGATGGCCATGTGTTGCTTCAAGTTTCTACTTTGAATTCTTGGCCATCACAATCTCTTCTACTTGTTGTGTGAATATAACATGTCATATTGCATCTCTTTTCACGGATATATTTTTTGTTCACACACACTTGTTGCACCCCACGGATTGCAAAATTTAGGGGGAGCTTTTGTCTTGATGTATGCAAATCATATATAGATGATTCTAAATGAAATTCAAATTCACACATACATCAAGGGGGAGCTCTTCATAAATTTTGGGGTTCAAAAACTTTAAATTCTTTCATTCTTATACAAGCCTAAGTTGGTTGTCATCAATTACCAAAAAGGGAGAGATTGAAAGTGCATTTGCCCCCTATGTGGGTTTTGGTGTATTGATGACATCCAAATTAGGGACTAATGTGATCTTCATGAGATATGTCACAGTTATTAGTCCCATGAAAGATTCAAAGAGTTGATAAAGATGAAATGGTATCCCTCAAATTCTTCAAGTACAAATGATAGACGAACTCAAAACACTCTTTAAGTTTAAATTTCATGCTTTTGAGTTTAGATTTGCCGCACTATTAAGAGGGATGCAAATTTAGGTGGTCTGAGGAAGATAGAGTGCTCAAGTATAAAAATAAAATCAAAAGAGAGACACGCTAGCACTTCACGAGCACGTAGGACATCTCTTCGAGACTTTTGGTGTCGGAAGTCCCGACTTAGGTCGGAAGTCCCGACACCCAGTCACCTAGCCTGTGAGGTGACTGTGGCCGTCGGAAGTCCCAACATGAGTCGAAACTCCCGACGGTTGGAAGTCCTGACTTAGGTCAGGAGTCCCGACACCTGTACCTTGGCTAGCTCGCTGACCGCTATTGTAGAGAGTCCCGACCATCGGAAGTCCCGACGTAAGGCGGGAGTTTCGACATTGACCTTCTCGTAGTGACTTTGACTTAGCTATGAACAATGTTTTCTATAGAGGTCGGAAGTCTCGAGATCTACGTCGGAACTTCCGACGTAGATCTGAACGGTTGGATTTCTACCTTAAGTATAAATAGCTTTGTCCTCTCTTCTAACCGTGACTCACTCATTCATTGTAACCTACTCACGACCAAAACAACTCTGAAGCATTCAAGACTCCCCTCTCCTCTCCCCTGTGCTTCAATCTTCGATTCCCGTAGGGTTTTGAGTGAAAGGAGAGTGGATTGAGTGAGAGCATCACTTTGGCAAGCTTGAGCACTCGATTTCTTCGTCAAGCTGGTTGGATTTACATCTATTACTCTTGGGGCTTTGCCCCTAGCCAGCTAGGCATCGGTCAAGAGCTTCCATGTTGTGGAATAGCCTTGGGAAGTTTGTATTACCCTCGATTTCTTAAGTGGAAACCTCGAGTGACCTTTGTGGTTGCTTTGAGAGAGGCAAGGAGGTGAAAGAGATTCCAACCTTTGTGGTCACCTCAACAACGAGGACGTAGGAGCTCCTTTGTGGGGTTGTCAAACCTCAGGATAAATCCTTGTGTCCTGTGTGCTTGTTGTTGTTGAGACTTGTGCTATTACTTTTGTTCTTGTGTGTCTCTTTCTCCCCAAAGATTTTCTTAGGATTTGGACTCGATCTACGGAGTGGTGACCTTTCGGCGACAAAGGAGCAACCCAATGCGTTACCTTACCACTAGGAAGTGGGGTTGTAAGTTATCGAAGTCACAAAGTTCATTTTATCACTTGTAGTACATTTTTCGTAGGCGTCAGGACTTCTGACAGTTTGCGCCAGAACTTCTGATGACATCGGGAGTTTCAACCCAAACTGTCGAGACTTCCGACAGTTGCTGACAAGTGACTTTGAGTTTTATGTAGAATTTTTTAGATA